TTCTTGCCTTTTTTTGTGTGGTGATGGAGGGGGTGGGGGATGTTTGGGGTACACTTTTGGTGTACCCCTAGCATTTTCCAACTTTAATTCCAAAATTCAGATCGTTGGTACCATTACGATTAGACAAATATTCTCTACAAAATGATTACGCTTCTGTAATTCAAAAATTACAAATTAACCCTGGTTTGAGCCTTCTCAATAATTAATTAACTATTCAAATTAATTAATAATACTAGGTCGGGTTTCAGGGCGTTACACAGAATGTCGGATTTGTGTGTTGGATTCCCTCCGGCATATGATAAGGAACAGAGATCGCAAACCCGTGGAAAGGATGTTGCTAGACCACAAAGATCAATCCTGGGTTCTGCTTCTATTCTTATGTGACAGAACGTATGTAATGTATACCTAATTTTATAGCTTATTACCGTTGACACATTTACTCAGTTTATAATTAAGTAATGAAGTTTGATATTAATCGCAGGCATCATTTTACATTGATAGTAATACGTTATTATGAAGATAAAGTGTATTACTTGAACTCAGCATTAGGGATGGGGACTTCCAAGAATCTTATATTGAAGACGTACATAAACGAGTAAGTCTATATACTACCTCCGTCCCATTATCTTTGTCCACATTTGACTTTTGGAACTGTTCATCTAAGCACTTTGACTCATCAAATTCTCTCAATGTGTAAGCCTAAAAATAGTCATGTGTGATCTTGTTTGATTCGTATTAACATATAGATTATTAATATATAATTTCTATAATTTTTTAATATCCAAATTACAAGATAAAATGGATTAAAAAAGTGCATTGGATGGTGTGCCAAAAGGTAAGTGGACAAAGACAGTGGGACGGAGGGAGTATTATCTTTATTTTACACATGAGTTATTCACATCATGTTTTCTCACGTATTAGTGGATGAACGCGGTTCGTTATTTTGAAATTTGATTGAAGAGCATAGAGGATCCTTCGAATACAGGGCATGGGTTTTCTTAAACCTAAACCCACGTGGACTGATGTCGGCCTCATAGCACAACAACCCGGTGGAACTGAATGTGGATATTATGTCATGAGATTTTTGTGGCTAATCGTCAGCCTTTGTGCCCATGCATCTGTTTCATTAGAAGCGGTAAGTTATGTATATAAAGATTTGCTTTGATTATATAGTAATTTCTTGGTTATAAGTTAGTGTTAGTGTATTGCATTGATGATGTGTTGTTCATAGTGTTGTTAATAAAGTGTTGTTGATATATATTTGATAGTGTTGATTTTGTATTATATAGTGTTAGTGTTGTTAATAGTAACTATTTCGGTTGTTGATAGCTATTGTTGTACGTTCGTTATTCTTCTAATTAGTGTTGTTGATAGTGTTGTTACATTGATATATATTTGTACGTTTGTTATTTGTTGATAGTGTTGTTAATATAGTGTTGTTGATATATATATTTGATAGTGTCGAGAGTTTGTATTATATATTGTTAGTGTTGTTCATAGTAAGTCTTTGTGTTGTTGATAGTTAATGTTGATAAAAGTTGATGTACTATGTTTTATTTGTTCTTGATGTTTATTGTATTGCGTATAATTAAACTTGATGAAACTTGTAATATTTCTATGGTTTGGTTTTACAGGTATTCAACTCTATTGATCTGTATACAATAGAACAACTTGATGAAATACGAGAGATGTGGGCAAGCCCTTTTTTGGACAAGTTGGTTAACTAGTTACACTTTGAGTTTTGAGAAACAAATTTTGTTCTGTTGGTAAAGTTTTTGACTCATAGAAACTGATGTGATTCGTATATTGGTCTTTGTTAATGACACTTTGCTATTTTGGATACTTTGTTATTGATATTTTATGCTCACTTTACAAATATTGGTTTTATATTGTTTATTAGTTAGGTCTTAACATTGTATTGCACATATTTAATTAAATTTGATGTGTCTTCAATGGTTGAGACCTGTTCATTTTATATGTGTAGTGCAGTGTTCATATATAGAGAAATATATTTTCCTAGAAATTATTAGTAAACGAATGGGTTATTAATTAATTACTAACAGAAAAGGCATCAGTTGTTAGGGAAAAACTGATGCATATACTATTTCTAAGAAATTTTTAAAAATTTGAAAATATCAAAGTCATCCGTTGTTCAGAAGAACCAATGCCAATACTATTTTTAAAAAACTTTTAGAAATTGGAAAATATCAATGGCATCGATTGTTGGGAAACAACCGATGCCAATACTCTTTTTAAAAAAATTTTAAAAATTAGAAATTATTAGTAGCATCGGTTGTGTACTAACAACCGATGCCAATATGCATTTTAGAAAATTCTAAAAAAATTCTAAATTAACAATGGCATCGGTTGTTCCCTAACAACCGATGCCAAGATTCTTTTTTTAAAAAAAATTAAAAATTCGAAATACCAATGGCATCGGTTTTTATCAAACAACCGATGCAAAAACTATATTTTTTTGGCGGAAAAACTATATCAATAGCATCGGTTATTTCTGAACCGATGCAATTGAACAAGAGCAATTTTATCGCTGGCATTTGCATCGGTACATAACCGATGTAAAAAATACAAAATAACCGATGCTAAAGCCCTGTTATGTAGTAGTGTTTGTTTAGCAACTCATCAAGAAAGTAAGATGAAAGGAACAATCTCCTCTGGTTAAAATCCATGAAATTTTGTCTCACTGCATCGTCTTGAAACTTAAGTAGATTATTAAAATAACCATCAATATTTAAGAGACCGATAGGTTTGGTATGCATTTACAAAGAGTTCTTTAAACAAGGCACTGAAATGAAACATACTATTGGTATTTACCAACATGTTTTAACTTATGATTTACATAGGAAACTAATGTTTAAACTCAACTACTAAACCTATTTATTGAGGTATATTGAGTCAAAAATGGATTTACTATTAAATCAATTATAAAGAAGAATTTGGAATTTACTTGGATAATGAAATATGATAAAGGATTACTGTTTTCCAAAAAGCCTTACCCGAGTTAAGTAAAAAGGTAACAGGTTGCCCATAGTGCAATGTCTGACCAGGAACAAGAGCCGTATTTACTGAGGGAGTGTACGTACATTGAATCATGATCGACCATTGTTCAACACCTAGGTGTTGGTAGGACCCAAGACCAATACTAGTCTTTTTAAGACTAGTGGAGGTGCAACCAAAGAAGGATTAGCGAGGGTTGGCTGAAAAATTGATTATTATAATGGAATTAGAAAAATACTTTGAATACTGAACATACTGTGATAATGACACTACCGACATCTACTGTGTGAAATAAGGAAGGATTTTGAATAAAAGAGAAGTCTGAAATGAACTATTTTGAATTACTGTATCTATAAAGCATTTTCAAACACGAAGTATTATTTTACTAGAAAGGTTTCTATTTTACCGTATTGTGCCACTCAGCAATTTTGCTGAGCATACAATTTGGTAGTTTAACTGTGCGTAGGTACTGAAGCCGGACGAGAAGCTGAGGATAGATGAGTTGTTTGAATGATTGATTCTGGAAAATTTTCTGTAGATTATTTAATTACTTATGCAAACTTTGATGTATAAGAATGATATACAAATGGTTCAACTCTAATTTGAATAAAATGTTTTTCACTTCTGCTATTGTTTTACTGTTTACCAGGATAACAACTTGATTTGAAAGGGGTTGCAGACTTGGACGACTTAGGGTGTTACAAAACCCTTGGGACATGCATGGTGTCTCCCCTGGAAAAATCAAAGTCATTAAGGTTAGGAGTCTGTTTAATTTAAAATAGCAGACATAGATCTTCTCAATTCATATATAGGGATTCGACGGAATGAGAGCAAGGGTTTGCAAAGGTTTAATGCTTGATAGCAAAGGTTGCAAAGGATGGATGCGTGACACCAACTCCTTAGATTAGATCTAGGATTTTCAAGATGGAAGAAAAAGCATATGTGAATGAGGTGGTACGAAGAACATGAAGAGAGTGTGTAACGCCCCAAAACCAGGCCGATCAGAATTGATTAATTAAATATTATTAATTAATTACTGATACGGACCTGGAGTTTAAAATAAATATTCGTTTATAAAATATAAAATTTATACGGTTGTGTAGGGTTCGACGAGACGAATCCAACACAACTTTCCGATTGGAATTCGGAGCAAGTTACCCAGAAAACTATGCTTTTACTGAGGTATGTTATTTTTAATACGGAGCACAAAAACCTAAAATATACTTAATAATTCGCACGCCAGCTACACGGATCGCACGCCAGGAGAAAAGCCTTCGCCCGTGAACTCCTTTTCCCTTCCTTTCTACGATTCCACGCAAACATCCAAGAAAATCCTCCCCTTTTCTCCGTTTTTTATAGTGACCCAGGGCCTGTGCATTTCCTTCTTCCTCGTGCGAAACTAACATCGAGAGAGAGATGAACGATCTGAGGTTTCCTATAACTACCGATCCAGACATCTGAGGTAAGGATTCCAACTCGCCCAACGGCTTAGCACCCCGTTGGTTGGTCACGCCGCGGTGCGGAGCTACGTGACCCATCTCACCACATAAACAAAGATAGTAAAATAATAAGTGTCAGGACGAGTGTCCTAAACAGGTAAGGCACGGTGTGCCTAGAAATGAAGCTGATGACAAGTACGCACTATATATGTGACTATGTGTGATCTGTGTATGAATACTTATTATTATGCATGAACAAAATACTCTCAAGCCGGATTATGTGTTATGTGTTATTTGCCCATACGTTAGACATCCTTGTACTCAGGTAGTGTTCTGCAGGTAGGGGAGAACAGGATGAACCTTGTTAAATATATTCTATATTTAATGTAAATATATTCTATATTTAATGTAAATATATTGTTTCATATTATTGTCTCCTACCTTGTATAGGATTAGGAATATATTGTTTCCTATTATTGAATCCTACCTTGTATAGGATTAGGAACCCTTGTGTATATATAGACATGTACTCCCACATATTCAATTAATGAAATTAACCTTTCTACATAGTATCGGAGCCTAAAAATCAAAAACCCTAAACCCCCTCTCTCTCTCGTTCGGCCTTCTCTCTCGCCGTCAGCGCCGACTCTCCCTACGGCAGCTCTCCTCACCGGCGACACCCTCTCCTCCTCGGCGGTCCTCTTCTTCCCCTCACCATGGCCGAAAACAGCAAAATCACTTCCCAAAATAACTCCTCCAAACCTCCTCATCTTGCTTTCACAACAATCTCAAACGTGAAACTTCATGTCCCCGTTCAACTCAGTCTCTCCCAACCTAATTACAAAAAGTGGAGCCGACTCTTCCTTCTTCTGGTTCGGCGATTCAACCTCAAGGGCTACATCGATGGCTCCGTCGTCCCCCTCTTTGATGACGACGACGAATGGTTCCAACTCGACGCTCTCCTCCAGGGTTGGATCCTCTCCACCATCACCGATGAGGTCTCAGATCTGGTCATCTCCTCTGTCTCTACTGCCTCTGCTCTCTGGAAAGTCATCCACGACTTGTTCCACTACAACAAACATACTCGAGCTATGCAATTGGAAGATGAATTTCGCACGACAGTCAAGGGCAACTCCACTATGGCAGCCTATTGCCAACAACTGCAGAATCTTGCCAACTGGCTGGATGATGTTGATGCACCAGTCTCCCAACACCAACTCGTCCTTCAAATGCTTCGTGGTCTCCCTGCCGATCTCGAGGGACAAACATCATTCATGCAATTTCAGGATCTCATGCCCACATTTCTGCAGGTTCGATCCGCCCTCATGCTGCTGGATCGACAACGGACGGGTCCCTCCGACTCGGGCTCCACGGCTTTCCTCACGACCCGAGTCGGTGGCAACTCCCACGGCGGCACTCACGACGGTACTCCCGGCGGCTATGGCGGACAGCATGGCGGCATAGGCTATGGGGAAGGCAACTCCGGGCAACGTGGAGGCTATGGACGAGGACAAGGTCGGGGCGGTGGAAATCGGGGCAGAGGTCGCGGACGTCAAAACGGCTCACGACCACGGCAATCCTACGACGGCAACAATACCTGGAACTCACCGTACCCTAAC